TATTGTAATTTTATTAATTTTTTTAAAACATCAAAGTATTTTTAATGCAAGTACTAACAATATAAAAAGAAGAGGGAAATATATATTTTATTTATTAAATATAATTATATTTTTCCTGCTTTATATACACACATAAGGTTTTTTAAGATATATTTTATTTAAATTAATATAATATTATATTACAACAGGGATTATTGAACAAATACAAATTTGCTTCTATATTTTTATTTTGATAAGAAGTTAATGGAATTTTAGTTTTCGTAAAACGCTTTGCATTTTTTTTGACGATGTTTCTAAAGTTAATAGAGTAAATAAGTAATTTTTTTTAGGTAAACAAGTGCTCACGAAACAAGAAGCGTGAATTATGGGAATTTTTCTGAATTTACAGAGGAATCTTCACAGTTAATTTGTCTAAACTGGAATCTGTCAACATTCTTACATCAACTTGGCAAAACTTTCCGAGCTCTCTGCGGATCACGTTAAGTCTCTCATCCTTACCCTTCTGTCACGTCCCTCCAATTGTAACAGTGCAAATCCTGTTTGGAGATACCTCGTTCGCGATTTCTCAGAAGGGGTTCTCTCTTTTGAGAAGTTCTGCAGATCCTCGCATGAAGAGATCATCCCATTGCACGAGAGAGAATCCAGCCAGTGGAAACAGTCTTGCGGCAACGTTGTTCTCATTTCCTGAACAAAGACGACCGTAGTTTCGCGAATGGTTTGTTTTACCTCTCTGTGTGCGCGAACTGCTTCCTTTGAGAACATTGAGAGAGTTCGAGAGCTCTTGGAGATCCGATGATTAAAGCTGTAAGTTTTGAATAGTCCGATCTCTTGTCTCTGTGTGAAACTTGTCGAATTTTTGTATAACATATAGATAGTTATATGATAATTAATAATCATGCACGAAAAGAAAATGTTTGAAGAAGATGCAAGATGTTTAGAAAAAATGAAAATATGAAACAAAAATTTTCTAAAGTTAAAAATAATAAATTAGTATAGAGAATGATCATTATAATCTCTAAGGTAAAATCAGAAAAATTCTTTTTATCAATTAAGCTTAAATATTTACATATAAAATAATTAACGTAAATTTACATAAACGTAAACATAAAACATTGAAATTTTATGTTGTGGTAGCGTAATTATCTAATTAAAAAAAGTTTATAAAGAATTAGTAAGTATTAAATTAAATAAGAAATAAAATACGTTTATAATTCTGAATTTGTTTATTTCCATCAAGAAAAATTGAGCTCAGACAACGTTTAACATTTTAATTTCCTTCCCTGTTATTATTCTGTTGACTACGTCGACATCTTTATTGACCACTCAGGTCATACCGCGATCTCGTTTCCATCCGAGCGGAAACGCATGTACTCGCATGCGGATTTATCCTCGTCCCTAGGCTCTCCCCACAAAGTTGCATCTTCCTCGCGGCCGGTGAAGCAGAAGACGAAGCAGAAACGGATGGAGAGCGAGACAGAGAAGGTACAAAGCTATTCTTAAAATAGGGTTCGAGTGAGCGCTAAGAGTGCGACAAGGAACGGTTCATCGCTATAACTCTACGAAGCCAGCAGAAGGGAAGTCGAGAAGAAGAAAGAAGAGGAAACGCAGAGAGACTCTAAGAAGAAAAGGATAAAGAGAGCGAGAGAAAAAGAGAACAAGAGGGACTGTGGCGTGCCTCGCGGGTCGCCGGCTCTTCAGGGTCCGAGCTTCGTCCGAAACGAAGCGCCTTTGCTTTGCTCGCTACTTTTCTCTCCCGTGGGATCGCGGAGAAGCCTTCCGCAAAACGATCGATCGTTTCCTAATCCATGGCCTTGATACCCGTGACTTCCTGTTTGCTTTAACATCGCAGTTGGACGATTGGTGAAAAAAACTTTAACTTACAAAGTTTTGTCAAGAGAAAAATTATTTCTGTTCCATGAAGGAATTCGTAGATGATGTAATGTTGTAAAATATCGTATATAAAATGTATGATATTAATAAAAAATGTAACTTTATTAAATTTTAATTTTTATTGCGTTATTGTAATTTTATTAATTTTTTTAAAACATCAAAGTATTTTCAATGCAAGTACTAACAATATAAAAAGAAGAGGGAAATATATATTTTATTTATTAAATATAATTATATTTTTCCGTGGTTCATGAAGCTGATTCCGGAAAGCGTTTCTGGAGATCTGTTTTTTTCTTTTGAGATTTCTTCGCCATCCTGAGAAGGGGCACAGGATCTATGGCATCGTATAGGAGCTACGTAAGTTCTTTATGTGTTAATTCGCTGATGAGACCGATCTAATGATCTCGAAATTCTTTAATTTGAATATCGGTTTATTTACTTTTCGCGCAGCTTTGTTAGCAATATTATACGCAAATATGCACTAAAAGTTACGAGGTCTTCTGCCTCTGGTATTTTTATCGTTCATTCATCACGCGAAAAAAAAATATCCGCAGGTTCCTATATTGGCACGACGCGATGACGCACGTATCGGAATGAACGTAATTTCTATTTGATCGATGAAATTGATGAATCTCGCTTATTCTCTGATGTTCACCGATATTTAACCACGTGCTTCCAATTGTAGCGCATTGCGTAGAGATATCGATTGAAATGGATAGGATTTGCATTCATGAAGTTTGCAAAGCAATATCTTTCTCTTATATTGCTATAAAAAAATGTTTAGATGATTATTGATAACGACTTAACTTGTGACACTGGTTCTACCAACTGATTCTAATTTGTCGTTGCGATAAATTTATATGTATGCAGAGTTAGCATTATATAAGGAATCTAACATTACTTACATTCTAATATGATCGTCTAATGCTTGGCGATTACGATATTATTATATATATAGCGTCCATGTGTAGGAATTTGTGATTTCCGATTTAAAATAAAATAGCATATATTTTGAATAAGCTTTTAAATGCAACAATATAATAATAAGAACAACAAGTCAATATACAAAAATAAATTAAAGTAAATTAAAATTATATAAAATACTTGATAGATGATTTATTTTAATTGTTGTTTGCATTTATTAAAACTTTTATTTTAATTTTATGCGACTAAAATATATTTATACATCATAAGTATAAATTGTGACACAAATTGATTTAAACGCACATGTTGTGTTTCTTATATCAATAGTATCGAATAATGTATCCAAATGTATATTATCGCTATTCGCTTTTCTCGTACATCATATAATTTTTCTCGAGCGTTTACGTCATCTAGCGAGGCGATTACTTCTCGGTCTCGCAGACCTGGCGTACTTAACGTGTACAGTGTAAATGAGTGTTTTAAGCATACCGAATATTCAAAGGGCACCTTTGCTGTTGGTTCTGGTCGTTGGTCCTCGCGTATAATTTGAGTGCTGGCTCCGCTTTCGTCGCAATTATGCAATGTAAATGAAGTCCATTAACTTTATCGTTCAAAGGTCCAAGTCGCATGCTCGCTTATTCCTTTTGCAAACCAATCTGGTTGTTTGCAAGATACCGCTAAATCGAAAAGTTCTCTCAATAACGATAATGCGGACGTATTCTCTTGTCGAGGAGCGATACGTTGGATGCACAATTTTCCACGATACTTTCACACACGTGTCTCGCGTGTTCGTGCTTAACAGATTATTGCCTGGCTACGGTATTCTTTTATTGTGCCATAGTCGTTGGTTGCACACCGGTTTACATTTCCGTGCCTTGAGTTTTTCACTTTTAGTTTAAAACTGCAACCGGAGCGGCGCGATGCCGTAGTGTTTCCAACGCGAACATTGTAGATCTCGCAAGCTCGTAATTAAATTCTCCCCTTTATCACAAATGTTTCGTTAGAATTGTACCGGCTTGACTATGCCATGTTGCATGGTGGAGAATTTAACATGGAGAAAATGAAATTCTGCAAAACGGCGACCACATTTAGAAACACGGTAATACACGTATTTGTGGGTATATTTAATTATTTAGACCGAGTTATATTAAATTTCAGCAAAATGTTTAGATTTTTTTTTTTCAAGAAATCATGTTATTATGAAAATGATTTAGAAAGAAAAAATTTAGTAGTATTTTTGAAACCACAGATATTTCTAATTTTGATATAAAATAAAATAAGCATATTTTTTGTATTTACCGACAACGTAGGATTTTCAAAGTAAAACGAGTGAAAAAAGAGTAAAATCCGAGCTCTCTGCGGATCACGTTAAGTCTCTCATCCTTACCCTTCTGTCACGTCCCTCCAATTGTAACAGTGCAAATCCTGTTTGGAGATACCTCGTTCGCGATTTCTCAGAAGGGGTTCTCTCTTTTGAGAAGTTCTGCAGATCCTCGCATGAAGAGATCATCCCATTGCACGAGAGAGAATCCAGCCAGTGGAAACAGTCTTGCGGCAACGTTGTTCTCATTTCCTGAACAAAGACGACCGTAGTTTCGCGAATGGTTTGTTTTACCTCTCTGTGTGCGCGAACTGCTTCCTTTGAGAACATTGAGAGAGTTCGAGAGCTCTTGGAGATCCGATGATTAAAGCTGTAAGTTTTGAATAGTCCGATCTCTTGTCTCTGTGTGAAACTTGTCGAATTTTTGTATAACATATAGATAGTTATATGATAATTAATAATCATGCACGAAAAGAAAATGTTTGAAGAAGATGCAAGATGTTTAGAAAAAATGAAAATATGAAACAAAAATTTTCTAAAGTTAAAAATAATAAATTAGTATAGAGAATGATCATTATAATCTCTAAGGTAAAATCAGAAAAATTCTTTTTATCAATTAAGCTTAAATATTTACATATAAAATAATTAACGTAAATTTACATAAACGTAAACATAAAACATTGAAATTTTATGTTGTGGTAGCGTAATTATCTAATTAAAAAAAGTTTATAAAGAATTAGTAAGTATTAAATTAAATAAGAAATAAAATACGTTTATAATTCTGAATTTGTTTATTTCCATCAAGAAAAATTGAGCTCAGACAACGTTTAACATTTTAATTTCCTTCCCTGTTATTATTCTGTTGACTACGTCGACATCTTTATTGACCACTCAGGTCATACCGCGATCTCGTTTCCATCCGAGCGGAAACGCATGTACTCGCATGCGGATTTATCCTCGTCCCTAGGCTCTCCCCACAAAGTTGCATCTTCCTCGCGGCCGGTGAAGCAGAAGACGAAGCAGAAACGGATGGAGAGCGAGACAGAGAAGGTACAAAGCTATTCTTAAAATAGGGTTCGAGTGAGCGCTAAGAGTGCGACAAGGAACGGTTCATCGCTATAACTCTACGAAGCCAGCAGAAGGGAAGTCGAGAAGAAGAAAGAAGAGGAAACGCAGAGAGACTCTAAGAAGAAAAGGATAAAGAGAGCGAGAGAAAAAGAGAACAAGAGGGACTGTGGCGTGCCTCGCGGGTCGCCGGCTCTTCAGGGTCCGAGCTTCGTCCGAAACGAAGCGCCTTTGCTTTGCTCGCTACTTTTCTCTCCCGTGGGATCGCGGAGAAGCCTTCCGCAAAACGATCGATCGTTTCCTAATCCATGGCCTTGATACCCGTGACTTCCTGTTTGCTTTAACATCGCAGTTGGACGATTGGTGCCGGTGAATCGTGTGACGGTGGTGTGGCTACTTCTGTGCTTGATGATGGTTCATGAAGCTGATTCCGGAAAGCGTTTCTGGAGATCTGTTTTTTTCTTTTGAGATTTCTTCGCCATCCTGAGAAGGGGCACAGGATCTATGGCATCGTATAGGAGCTACGTAAGTTCTTTATGTGTTAATTCGCTGATGAGACCGATCTAATGATCTCAAAATTCTTTAATTTGAATATCGGTTTATTTACTTTTCGCGCAGCTTTGTTAGCAATATTATACGCAAATATGCACTAAAAGTTACGAGGTCTTCTGCCTCTGGTATTTTTATCGTTCATTCATCACGCGAAAAAAAAATATCCGCAAGTTCCTATATTGGCACGACGCGATGACGCACGTATCGGAATGAACGTAATTTCTATTTGATCGATGAAATTGATGAATCTCGCTTATTCTCTGATGTTCACCGATATTTAACCACGTGCTTCCAATTGTAGCGCATTGCGTAGAGATATCGATTGAAATGGATAGGATTTGCATTCATGAAGTTTGCAAAGCAATATCTTTCTCTTATATTGCTATAAAAAAATGTTTAGATGATTATTGATAACGACTTAACTTGTGACACTGGTTCTACCAACTGATTCTAATTTGTCGTTGCGATAAATTTATATGTATGCAGAGTTAGCATTATATAAGGAATCTAACATTACTTACATTCTAATATGATCGTCTAATGCTTGGCGATTACGATATTATTATATATATAGCGTCCATGTGTAGGAATTTGTGATTTCCGATTTAAAATAAAATAGCATATATTTTGAATAAGCTTTTAAATGCAACAATATAATAATAAGAACAACAAGTCAATATACAAAAATAAATTAAAGTAAATTAAAATTATATAAAATACTTGATAGATGATTTATTTTAATTGTTGTTTGCATTTATTAAAACTTTTATTTTAATTTTATGCGACTAAAATATATTTATACATCATAAGTATAAATTGTGACACAAATTGATTTAAACGCACATGTTGTGTTTCTTATATCAATAGTATCGAATAATGTATCCAAATGTATATTATCGCTATTCGCTTTTCTCGTACATCATATAATTTTTCTCGAGCGTTTACGTCATCTAGCGAGGCGATTACTTCTCGGTCTCGCAGACCTGGCGTACTTAACGTGTACAGTGTAAATGAGTGTTTTAAGCATACCGAATATTCAAAGGGCACCTTTGCTGTTGGTTCTGGTCGTTGGTCCTCGCGTATAATTTGAGTGCTGGCTCCGCTTTCGTCGCAATTATGCAATGTAAATGAAGTCCATTAACTTTATCGTTCAAAGGTCCAAGTCGCATGCTCGCTTATTCCTTTTGCAAACCAATCTGGTTGTTTGCAAGATACCGCTAAATCGAAAAGTTCTCTCAATAACGATAATGCGGACGTATTCTCTTGTCGAGGAGCGATACGTTGGATGCACAATTTTCCACGATACTTTCACACACGTGTCTCGCGTGTTCGTGCTTAACAGATTATTGCCTGGCTACGGTATTCTTTTATTGTGCCATAGTCGTTGGTTGCACACCGGTTTACATTTCCGTGCCTTGAGTTTTTCACTTTTAGTTTAAAACTGCAACCGGAGCGGCGCGATGCCGTAGTGTTTCCAACGCGAACATTGTAGATCTCGCAAGCTCGTAATTAAATTCTCCCCTTTATCACGAATGTTTCGTTAGAATTGTACCGGCTTGACTATGCCATGTTGCATGGTGGAGAATTTAACATGGAGAAAATGAAATTCTGCAAAACGGCGACCACATTTAGAAACACGGTAATACACGTATTTGTGGGTATATTTAATTATTTAGACCGAGTTATATTAAATTTCAGCAAAATGTTTAGATTTTTTTTTTTCAAGAAATCATGTTATTATGAAAATGATTTAGAAAGAAAAAATTTAGTAGTATTTTTGAAACCACAGATATTTCTAATTTTGATATAAAATAAAATAAGCATATTTTTTGTATTTACCGACAACGTAGGATTTTCAAAGTAAAACGAGTGAAAAAAGAGTAAAAATTAAAAGCACGTTACTTAATATTTAAAGAATATACGTTTTTAAAAAAGCTTTTACATATTTTTCCAGAATAATCGATCCAAGTCTTCTTATTGCAATATAAAATATATCGCGATGAGAAAAGATGATCCCGTACATTCAGTAGATACAGCCTGACTCGCGTCAGACCACGGGCGGCTGCGGGCCATAAAAGATCGATCACGCCTCGGCGGAAAGTGCAGCACGGCCGGGACGTAGCTCGATCGTTTATCGAAGGAGGTCGAAGCGATCGTTAGTGACTTCCAAGTACGAATCCCTGGCCGCATGCCTCCGAGAAACATTTTCGTGCATCGGAGCACCGCGGGTCGCCCCGGCGCGACGCGACGCGGCCAGCAAAATTAGCCGGGTCTTTCCCACACGGCATCTGCCCGCGCCCCGCGTCTACGTATATTCGTGTATAAAGCTTTCTTCTCTGCCTCGATATATACGTCCGTGATCGGCGCTGGAGGCGATGTACCGGGTGTCGAATTTCAAAGCGGTTCAATGGTACCGGGTTGCGTAGGATAGATTTATCTTAGGAATGATTCGCGTCAAGCTTGATACAGTATATGTCGCGCACAGGCACAAGACTCCCTACCGAAAACTCCTGAAAGGTGTCTTCAGCCTGCATGTGGTTTACCGTCGTTGAGCAATAAGGATTTTTGTACGCGACCTGGATGCAAGAGCGTATACCCTTGGGCCGGAGGAGGGCCGTCTTCCTCTCGAGTTCTTTCAGATGACTGGTGCTTGCTATAATGCGCGAACGGAACATGTTGTGTGATGTATCAGACGTAAGACAAGAAACTTGTCATAGACTCTTCCGGAATTACTTTTGCTGTCGAAAACGAATATATATATACTGTAAAGTAGACTGGCTTAATATGATAATACATTTTTAATTTAGAATAAAAAAAGTTTTATATAGTAACCCTTGGGCCGGAGGAGGGCCGTCTTCCTCTCGAGTTCTTTCAGATGACTGGTGCTTGCTATAATGCGCGAACGGAACATGTTGTGTGATGTATCAGACGTAAGACAAGAAACTTGTCATAGACTCTTCCGGAATTACTTTTGCTGTCGAAAACGAATATATATATACTGTAAAGTAGACTGGCTTAATATGATAATACATTTTTAATTTAGAATGAAAAAAGTTTTATATAGTAAAATAAAATATTGTGCAAACATTTTAAAATTAAGAATGAAGAAGTAAATTAATTAAACAATGATATTTGAAAGTCATATTTGAAAGAGTTAAAATAAAATGACGTTTTACCATTGCTTCTGTAACAATTCTTTAAAAATTGATTGTTATTTTACATTGTGTATTATTTTCTTATTTTATTAAATTATTCGATTTTTAGATATTTTATCTAATTATTGGTATTTAAAAATTGCCATGAATAGATTGATAAGTGAGAATATTGAATACAGAGAGGTACAACAATATATAATATGAACATAAAAATACTAGATCAAATTATTATGTTTGGAAAATTTTTTTGTCATGTATAATGCGTTGCGCTGACTGTATAATGAGTTTCTAATGCATTCTTTTTTTTCAATAATCATTTTTAATATTCCTGTAATCTCAATTTTCTGCATGCTTTTTTCATTCATTTACAAGCATAAATAATATACTCGCTTATGTGATAAATGGGTACTTTCCCCTTATTGATACATTAGCCTGAATATATTTCTCTTGTCTTTTCACAAAAATCATGTAAAACAACAGTAAGATTTGTACTGATCAAATTACTAACCTCAGCATAAGTAAACCACACGAGGTACATTCGAAACTCTGGATAAATTTAGACTTACTACGTATGTTTGTGCTCTACTTCCTAGACAAGGCATCAGATGCATTAGGCTTAAAACTTGAAAATGTTTAGTTAATTTTACATGTTCAAAACGTGTAACATACATAAAAATTATCTCCATTTTAATTTTATTCGTTCTCGTAAAATAATCTTGCTGTTTAAGTTTAAATTACGTTTTGGATTAAGTTTTGGACTTATTTAATTTTGCGTAAGAAAAGATATCTGCAAACTCGGTGCTTTATATCATCGACAACAGGCAAAAAGGATTATTAAACATGGCAAAAACGATGATTTGACCAAAAGTGAAAAATAGTTGAAACAATGTTAATAATTTTGCTGTACACAGCATGTGCTTAGAGAGATTAGGGGAGCTCGTATATGTTAAAATGTTTTAACGAAGATGCAGGGTAGAGTAATCGCAAAATCCGGACAGTGAACCTAGATTTAATAGCTTCTTTGAATATTTCAGGGAGAGCAATCGTGACTACAAACGATGCGATGGTGCGAATGCTTTTAATCGACCATACCATTCCGTTTTCTTTTATATCTGCTTTATTCGTTTTGTATCGCAATAGAACCCGATATTTATTGCTATGCAACTCGAAACCACTTGAGAAAGATGGAGACGGAATTTTGCAATGCATCGGATTTAGTTTTCATGATGTTTCGTTAAAAGACTTTTAAGAATACCATAAGATGTATAATAAAATATTAAACGACTGCTTGAAAAAAAATATTATAAATGAAGAGAGTTGTTTTGGAAATCTCGTCTGGAAAGTTAAAATTATACATATAAATAATTTCATTTTTATATGAGAAAGTGTTACAAAAATATTTTATTTTTGCATATCAAGAAAATTTACAGCGTAAAATTGATCACCAATCTTGTCAATTATCATACTCTCTTTAAAAAAGAGAGATATAAAGATACTTCGCACAATTTATACAATTCTTTTCATTGATAGATGTCATTGATAGAATGCAACAAAAATGAATGCACGCGAATGCGTGCAAGGTAAGAGCATAGATGGTTATAAACGAGATTTTGCATTTACATTTAAACATTGTTCATTTGCCCTTTTTTACTCATCGTTATCAGTAACGACGGAAGTAGACAGACTTTGGCTTCTGGATTTCGGAAGAGTGCGGAACTGTCAGATGTGCACATTATAAGAAACAGATGTGTACAAGAGAAACTGGTTATAAACCATACGATTGAATTAATCATAAACTTCAACTGATGCCAAAACTATCACGTGTTTACTCTGTCACCGACTTCGAACAGAGGATGAAGTTCTGACAGTTGGAATTTATATTCATACTTCATGCAAATAGATGCGCACCGATTTACAATTAAAGTAGAAAATTGCTTTGCCACTTAAAGTTTAATGCAGAGCGCGTCTTTTCTAACATCTATTTTTATAATACAGCAAATAAAGTTATGAATAAAATTAAATAAAATATTGTTATTTATGATAGAAAATATTTAAAAAAGGCATTTTCAATATCAGTAAACTTATATTTGTCGCGATATATGTTATTCTTCTTCCATAATTATAGTATTTTAAGTTATGTTAAAACTTTTCTATTTCTTTTTCTCCCTTTTTTTCCTTCTTATTATAAAAAGCTGAACTTTATCCTATAAAATTATTATGCATTTTTCTTTCAGCGCGCTTAAATAAGAATACGTCTTAAAATAGCTAATTTCGCTTGCATTTAATATAAAAAAATAAAAAAATAGTAAATAAAAGCAAGTAAATAAAAAGCAAAATGTTTTATTACAGTCTGATAGTACCGTTGTACGAATGTGAAAATGTGTTAAAATATAATTGTGAACCGTGTTTATAATTCTATTATGTTATATTTTTTCCAATGAAAAAGAATTGTATGATCGAATCATGTTATATACCATTCAGCATGTGTGCTGCAAACATCGCAACTATTTCATTAAAGCCGATAGCGGAATCGAAGCTGCCGAAATATTTGCCATCAAATATCAAACTCCCAATGAAAATGGGTATTTCGGGATCGTGCCAGAACTAGCGCCGATGCATCGCTGTTTTGACGTCGTTGCCTTGTTAGTGACGCGTCGCATCGCACCGAGCAACAATGTTGTTGGCAAACACAGCTGATCTCGCGGATCAATTGTCGGAATTGAACCCAATTTCACCTCGCGTTAGGTTGACCTAGTGTATGGTGTCGACGAGTCGAATCGATAAGCCCGCGTCTGCAAATATTCAGCGATCCGTTATGCGAGGAATCATTTTTTGCATTCAAAATAAAATCATTTCTTGCCAAAAATTCTGCACTCGCCAACTAAAATTCTTATTAACGATTATTCTGAGATTATATATGCGAAATTTTCAACAGATCGCGTCTAGTTATAAAGAATTATTCAAAACTCTAATAATAAGAAATTGTCGCCAATTGAATGAAAATTAATCTTTTCTTGTAACGATATGAAAGAATTATTAGATTTTAAATTATGCGCAAAAACAATTAATTAATTAAAGTAAAAAGTCTTAACAAATTAAGCTCAAAATTGCTAATACTGTTAAAAATAAAAATAATAACTATACTATAATATTTGTATTTAATTTATAAATGTTTAATTCTGTTAACTTGCAACGTGTAATAATATATTTTTGTCTGTGGTGTTTGGTTTATTATTTCGATGACAATAAAAAGTTATTTTACATAAATGATTTGTTGCATAGTAGTTGCATATGATAAGAAAACGAAACAGAGTAAAGATCCTTAAAAAATATGTATTTTATACAAAGAGAAGAATAAAAATATAATACATCTGTTTGATAGACCAAATAGACGTTTGCAAGTTGGAAGAATTTATGATGCATTCGTCGGTGTTAAATTTAATTTGCGAGACTTTGCTGAAATTGTAGCCAGTTCATTTCTGCATATGATTGCAAATTGTGCCATCATTTCCCAGATTTTACATTTATTGCCTAATTAATTGCAGCTACATTGCAACTATTTTATCAAAGATTTATATAAAATCGGATAAAAAAGTTTTCCATTTTTTTTCAAAAAATTATATATTATAATTATTATTTCCTTGTCAGCCTTTTCAGCTTTGATATAAGAAATATTGTATTTAACATATATTAAATAAAATAAAATTTATTTATAATTAAACTTATTATAATAGAAGATTCATTTTTTAATAATAACAAAACTGATCGCCAGAAATGTTCTAACTTATATTGTTTCAAGAAATAGTTCTGATATATTATTAATTATGTATAGTATTATGTCTTTCAATTTTAAAAATTCTTTTAATCAAGAAAAATATATATGATATCTTTCTTATTTTTTTA